AGGTTCAGCGCCGCGTAGGCGTCGGCGTCGGGGTCGAGCGCCGCCTCGGGCGCGCTGAGCGCGTTCGGGGTGCAGGTGTAGAGCGCCTCGAGCTCGTCGTCGGGGCGCAGCGCCTCGGCTTCGTCCGGCGCCGCGACTAAGGCGTCGTCGGGCTCGTTGTCGGCCCCGGAGCCTGGTTCGGCGGGCTCCATGGGCCGCCGAAGCGCCGCGGGAGCAGGCCCAGCGCAGACAGGTTTGCCACAAGACTTTTGGTGAAGTTTGCTCATGCCCCTCATACGCCTCCTCATTGAGGTTTGCTCATGCCCCTCGTTGAGCCTGGAGCGCACTTTCTTTTCCTTAGTCCGCGAGGCCGTACTTCGCGAGCTCGTCCTTGAGCTGGGCGACGGAGACGGGCTTCGTGACGACGCAGTTCGCGCCGGCCGCGACGAAGGCGGCGATGTCCTCCGCGAGCGCGTTGCCCGTGACGCCGACGATGAGCGCGTCGCAGCCGGCCGCGCGGATCGCGCGCGTCGCGTCGAGGCCGTTCATGACGGGCATGACGCTGTCCATGAGGATGAGGTCGAAGCCGTCGTCGGCGGCGTCCTGGGGCGCCGCGCCGCCGCCGGTCCGCGCGCGCTTCCGCGAGTGCGCGGCGACGGCCTCCGCGCCGTCCTCGGCGAGCTCGACCTCGAACCCCAACTTCCGCACGTGGAAGGCGATGAGCTTGCGATTGCTCGACACGTCGTCGACGACGAGCGCGCGGCGGCCGCGGCGCCGCTTCCGCGGCGCCGGGAGCGCCGCCGGGACCGCGTGCGCCGCGGCGCCCGCGAGGTCCCCCGCGCTCGGCGGCCGGCTCAGGTCCGTCGCCGAGGGCGTCCGCGAGGGCGCCGCGTCGACGACGGGCAGCGGGATCACGAAGTAGAACTCGGAGCCCCGGCCGACGTCGGAAACGACGCCGATGGTGCCGCCGTGGAGCTGCACGATCTCCCGCGAGATCGCCAGCCCCAGGCCCGACCCGCGGCCCTGCTGGAGCTCCCCCGCGCGGATCTGCGAGAAGGCCTGGAAGAGCCGCCGCTGGTCCGCCGGCGCGATGCCGACGCCGTCGTCGGCGACGGAGACGCGGACCATGGCCACGGGCACGGCGGGGTCGCGCGGCGCCTCGTCGTCGCTCAGCCCGACGCTCACGGCGACGCGCGGCCGGTCCACGTCCTCCGGCGTGAATTTCAGGGCGTTGGACACGAAGTTGGACACGCACGCGCCGAGGCGCCGCGCGTCGCCGTCGAACCACGCGTCGAGGAGCCGGTCGTCGACGCGCGTCACGAGCGCGACGCCCCGCTCGCGCGCCGACGGCGCGTGCGTCGCCACCGCCTGGTCCACGAGGTCCCGCACCGCGAAGGGCTTGCGGTGGAGCGTGAAGCGGCCCTCCTCGATGGACGCGAACGACAGCACGTCGTCGAGCGTCTCCGACATGCACGAGATCGACGCCTCGACGACCTCGACGACCTCCTGGATCTCGCCGTCGGCGTCCGTCGTCGGCGCCGCCGGCGACCGGAGGGCCGGTTCCAACAGCCCGCCCCCGAAGGCCGGCGGCGGTTCGTGGTGCGTCGCGTCGCTGTGGCCGTCGGCGAGCGCGTGGACGAGGCTCGGCCGGTCGCCCTCGGGCGACTGGCCCCGGCCGTAGCCCACGTAGTCGCTGATCGCGCGGACGCCGAGGCGCACGGCGTTCAGCGGCACGCGGACCTCGTGCATGACGTAGCGTAAAAACCGGCGCCGCTGCGTCGTCGCCTCGACCTCGAACTGCAGCAGGCGCCGCAGCGCGTGCTCCGGCGACAGGCCCGCGAGTGCGCGGCACCCAAAGCGCCCGCGTACAGACACTTGGCGACGACGTCGACGACGTTGTAGAGCAGGCCCTCGTAGAGCGGGCTCACGAGCCGGAACAGGCCGGAGAAGTAGACCACGACGAACAAGGTCCAGGTCCCGGCGCAGACCACGGTCAGCAAAGCTGCGCGCGCCAATCGCAACCGTCGCCCCGCGGCCGCGACGTCGCGCGAGAACGACTTCGCCGGCCGGTCGCCCTTGCGGTCGTCGCGCTTCTCGTCGTACGCCGCCTTGGCCTTGGCCAGCACGTCCCCCAGCACGACGAAGATGTGGCAGTAGGCCGCCGTCGACAGCAGCAGGCACGCCAGCGCGACGGGCGCCGGCGGGTCCCAGAGGGAGCAGGCGCACCCTAACACCGTCGACGCCTCCTGGGCCACGATCGACCGCACGGCCGCCGCGTCGAGCACGGGCGCCTCCTCGTCGCCGTTGGGGTCGAAGTTCAGGGCGTGCATGAGCACCATCAACAGCGGCACGAGCGCGCACCACTCGGCCCAGCGCGCGCTGTGGAAGACGCGGCCGTCGAACATGACGTGGCGCGGCAATAGATCGAGCGCGATGGCCGCGTGGGACGCGCAGGAGACGACGTTGATGACGAAGATGCACGTGAAGGGCGCCACGCGCGCCCGCGCCGAGGGGGATCCGTCGCCGAGCACCGACTCGTCCTCGAACGCGACGGCGAGCAGATTGAGCAGCGCCGCGGTTCCGAAGCAGGACGCGGTCATCTGGCTGAACGTCCGCAGCGTCGCCTGGGCGTCCCAGCCGTCGGGCGCGGGCGTGACCGTCGCGAGGAAGAGGACCACGCAGCAGGCGTAGATGGCGAAGCACCCGAGGCACGCCCGCCTCAGGCAGCCGACGAAGCGCCGCGTGTTCGCCGCGCGCCGCGCGTCGACGGTCTCCATGTTGTCGTGGCTCTCGTTGCGCGTCAGCGTCGCTTCCGTGAGGTCCGCCTCGGCTGGCTGCTGGGCGCAGCGCACGGCCGTTGGGGGTGACGCGCCGGGGTAGGCACTCGCCGGCAGCGTGCGGCGGCTGCGGCGGCGCGGAGAGGGATTCGGTTGCATGTTGGTTTGAGTGTTGCTGATGGTTTCTGATGGTTTTGCTGAGTCGATGCGTTGTCGTGGACTGGGTTCAGCGCTCACGAACTGCGGGAGGTGCCAAGACTGAGGCTCGTATTGATGCTCCTACTCAATTGCTCCTACTAGTACTAGTACGCTACTTCGAGCGCCCAAGTCATGCGAGGAGCTCGCCGGGGGCGAGAAAAAAAAAAGAAAAAGAAAAGAAAAAGAAAAGAAAGGCAAGAACACGCGCTTGAATTTTTTGGTGAGAATCTACTGAACATATTATTTGAGGAAGCCCAACCATGGCCGACGACGCAGCCGCACGCCGCGCAGCCTCGGCAGGTGCACCGGAGGCGCAAAAAACCTTCGCGAAGGCCTGCGCGAACTCGCTCGAGTGGCACTACAAAGCGGCGCAGCGCCGCGGCGCGCCGCCGTCGCGGCCGACGATCCTGGAGAGCGACAGCAAGCGCCCGGGTTGGTACGAGCCGCCGGACGCGACGGCCGCGCCGCCGCGCGTCGAGCGGCGCGCCGAGGCGACGGACATGCAGAATCAAATCGACGCCGTCGAGTTCGGGCTGAAGCAGCTCCGCGCGTCGGCCGACGAGCCGCCGGACGCGAGCGTCCTCGAGAGGCTGACGACCGCGGTGACGTCGCTGCAGAAGGAGATGAAGACGACGCTCACGGGCGGCCAGCCCGCCGTCGCCA